ATCGGTAAGTTAGTGTGCAATCCTAGCAAAACAGAGGTCATTCAGTTTAGTTCTCCTTTCGTCAAGAACCCAATTCTCAGTGATTTTTTGATTGGCAACTCTAGTCTAAGAGTACAACCATCAGACCGAGTTCGTAATCTTGGTGTCAAACTAGATAGAGAGCTCAATCTTGCAAAAAGGCTATGCTAGCGATTCGATTTATTGACAGATTGAGGAAGTATCTGAACAAAGATCACCTCAAGATGATGGTCAATGCTTTTGTTACGTCGCGCTTGAATTATTGTAACAGTTTATATTGTGGCTTACCCAAGGAAGAAATGGACAAGCTGCAACTTGTTCAGACTCTGTGCTGCACGCTTGGTTTCAGGAATAAGATCTGACCATATAACTCCTGTCATGAAAGACTTTCACTGGCTTCCTATTAGTGCACGCATCGACTTTAAAATACTGCTTTTAACATTTAAAATTTTAAACGATTTACCTCCTTACTATTTGTCTTGACTTCTTCTCAATTACCAGCCCGCTCGTTTACTCTGCTCATTTAATAGATTGCTTTTACAAGTTCTTTCTGTTAATACCGTGGCTTATGGATCGACACCGCTCATTTTCATATTTTGCATCGAAAATCTAAAGCAGTATACCTGATCATATCAAAAACTCTGAATCTGTCTCTACTTTTAAGCAACGTTTGAAAACTTTTCTTCTTAGGAATAATTAATGTATATAGTTTCATTTAGACTTTATTTATTGTGAGCGCATTTATTATAAGCGCTATTGTAAGCGCGTGGAGAATTCTTTAAATGTGCCATAAAGACCTACTATTATTATTATTATTATTATTATTACTATTATTATGGGGTTAAAAACGCTTGTGAGCAAGTCAATCTGACTTTTCTCGTGATTTGTGTGAAAGTTGCACGACACTTTTCACTAATACGTTTAGTATGAAGTTACCAAACTAATATCTACACCATATGTTCGTTATACTAAAATCTCTTCGGAGGGTAAGATAGATTAGAATTAAGGAGAAGCCACAGTTCAAAGTCCTAATGTGCAGGAGAAATAACTTTCTTATAATATGCCTTGTTCTCGTCTGGGCACGCTTTCTTTTGCACTCGCGATATGAAATGTCTCAGCAAGACATCCGGGATACAAAGTATGCGCAGTATCAGCATGTACTTAGAAGGGGAAGTCAAATGCAGTCTGGAAGGCCTTTTGTCGGCAGAGAAGATCAATGGATGGATGTTCGACTTACTCGTTTCATCAAATCGACAAAATTCAAACGAGATTCAGCAGAAAGGGATTCCATGTCGAACTTGACGGTTTATCTTGATGAAGTAATAGAATACTCGAGGCCGTCTCATCAAGTAGGTGTTTTCCAGAAAGGGATCACTCGATGGAAATTGTCTATAGAAGCAGCGTTTCCAGAAGATCTAACCGAAAAGAAACAGTCAAAAGGTTTTTGCATGAACTCTGGAAGTATTCGATTTCCTAATCTTCCGGTCTCTCGCCTTAAAACGATTTTCCAAAATTTTCAATAATTATGTACGGTAATCCTAGATTCTCAAATTTCTAACTATTTCGAGGTATTCCCTTGTATCTTCAAAATTCAACTACCATGTTCCCCAAACGATGTTAAGAAGAATTCCAGCTGCCGTATTTACTGCTGAAAATACGCGTATTTACCCGATCAAACGCCGTAGGTAAGAAGCAAAATTGGAATTCGGGTTATCTCGATCCATCAAAGTGCTTCCAAAAATTGAAAAATGTTGCCATCCACCTTAAGGAACTAGTTGTGTATCACTGCTTTGAGGAGAGGATTTAAATAAATCAGTGACTCCGCTATAAATCCCATCACCAGTTTATTGAGAACAAACAAGATACATTAGTGCAAAATAAAGTAGTTCTTTGCCTTACAAAAAACCTTACAAAGGTTAACGAAAACATAAAATTCATAAAAAAAAACTTAAAATAGCACAATTAAGTGCTATCTCAACATGATATGCACTTTTCCTGTTTTGTTTACCATTACTGCCAGCTTTGTTTGTTTAATTTATTGCCATTATGATTCACTTGTCATTATTTTTTTTTTGTGACGGAGTACACATCGCGGTCATTCAATTTTTGGACTGGTCTGAAGTTGTCGCACATGTGCGGACCATAATACTTTGCTTCAAGTTTCCTGAACTTTTCGAGCTAGAACACAAAAAACAAACAAAATTAATTCATTAGTTTATTAACGACGCATCATTTGTTTTTTAAACTGACAGTTTGTGGTTCAATTTAAATACAGTGAATGTGTTGGTCTGATATTGTCGCATATGCAAGAGAGGAGCCTGCCCGTAATCTTGTAGAATAAGCCTTTTGCAAAATCCTTGTAAATACTGTCGTTAAATCTTTCCCTTACGTATTTAAGGGCTCAAATTGCCTGTTATGAATAAAAAGGAGATTTGAGCCCTATAATTACCAAATTTACAGGGTTTGTATGGAAAACCACTTAATCGTGAATGGGTGGCAAGAGTTGTTTTTACCATACAAATCCTCGTAATTTTCGGCGGCTGTTGCCATCGCTAATTTTGCGATATACGGCTGAAAATTTACAGGTTACCTAATTTTAATATGCTCTTTCAGTTCCTGCTAACCAAATTTTTCAAAAGCTAACTGTTTTCGTGTTTACAGAAAGTTGAACACGTGTTCAACTAATCAATGCAAAAGGCCTGTTGACTCCTTTAAGCTTGTCTAAGAAATATTAACATACTATACATCATCTGTTATTCTAATTATTTGTTTGACTTACAATGTTAAAAACTTTGAAATGTTGCACATATTGGTCGCTTTTGCTACTGAAATATTCGCCATATGTGGCAAAAGGTCCCCCAGTTTCTTAAAGGCAAAAACGAGTTGCCCAGTGAGAAGAATGTCTTCCCAACATCACCCCACTTCCAAAGAAAGTCTCATTTATTCCTTTAAAAAATGTCAAAGGACCCGTCAATGCTACTCTGACAGTAAGTGGCTGAACTACCGATGTGTTATCTTAGTACTTGTAGAGTGTACACTTCTAATTGTAAAGCGTAGAAGGTTCCTTAAGCTAGGTTTAATTCAAGTTAGTTAGCATTACATACCTGGCTGGTAGAAGCGAGGATATAATCTTTCAGAACTATCCACCGTATTGTTTGAGTGCAAGGAGGCGTAGTGAGGGAACCCCGGTAAGTGAAGTAACATTTTAAAGTCAAACGTTTGGCGCCTCCTTTCTTCTTTTTATAATTATAATTGTTGTCATTATTTTTGCCACTGACAGCATTGTCTTTACCACCAGTGTCATTGCCACCATTACCATTGCCGCCATTACCGTTACCACCATTACCATTGCCATAACCATTGCCATTACCATTGCCATAACCGTTGCCATTACCATAACCATTGCCATTACCATTGCCATTACCATTGCCATAACCATTGCCACCATTACCATTGCCGCCATTACCGTTACCACCATTACCATTGGCATAACCATTGCCATTACCATTGCCATAACCGTTTCCATTACCATAACCATTGCCATTACCATTGCCATAACCATTGCCATTACCATTGCCTTTACCATTGTCATAACCGTTGCCATTACCATTGCCATAACCATTGCCATTACCATTGCCATAACCGTTTCCATTACCATTGCCTTTACCATTGCCATAACCATTGCCATTACCATTGCCTTTACCATTGCCATAACCATTGCCATTACCATTGCCATAACCGTTTCCATTACCATTGCCTTTACCATTGCCATAACCATTGCCATTACCATTGCCTTTACCATTGCCCTTACCATTGCCATTACCATTGCCATAACCGTTTCCATTACCATTGCCCTTACCATTGCCATAACCATTGCCATTACCATTGCCATAACCATTGCCATTACCATTGCCTTTACCATTGCCATAACCATTGCCATTACCATTGCCATAACCGTTGCCATTACCATAACCATTGCCATTACCATTGCCATTACCATTGCCATAACCATTGCCATGACCATTGCCATTACCATCGCCACCATTATCTCTGCCCTTGCCAATGGAGCATTTTTTGGGAATGAGATCCTTTAAATAAATTCCATCTTCCTTCGTCACAGGATAGGTATCCTCTGTAAAAATAAAATGACGGTGAATTGTACCCTACATTTCAGAGGTCACACAGTAAGATCAAAAGAGGTTCGTGAATTTTTGAAAGTATGGTTGTTTTTACCTGGAAGCTTCCGAGGTGAGTTCTCAAGATGCAAAAAGTTTACGGATTGTTCTAGGGTTGGAAATATTAATAACTAATAACCGAGGTTCGAACACCAGATTCAGACCCAAATTTTAAGTTGCAAAATACTTGTCCCCATCTCATTGGCTCTGTAATTGGCAGTTGAACAGAAGGTTTAATGTAGTCTTTTGGTGGATCAGAGAGACATTATTGTTAATAGCTAATTGCTGACAATTTTTTGTTACCCTAAAGTAATTGTTTAACCTACGAACCTAAGCTATATCTTTTGAAGCCATGCAAGTAACTCAAGTAGGCTCGTGTCTTATCAATTGTTAAGGCAATTGACTACGTCTAGTAAAACAATCTTGCTTTTAATGGAAGGAAGTTAGGGAAAAATTTTGAATTTGAATATAGGGCCATAAGTGACACAAGTGTTGCACGACTGTGTGTGTTTTAAGCTATGTTAAAACTATGCCTTTCACAGTATCCTGCGGAGGAATGGTCTACTCCACGTGTCGTCACGCAACGTTCCTCCCCAAGAGGAGCGTTGCGTGACGAGGACAAAGAAGGTCTGTGAAGCAGACTAGTGGAGGGGGCTTTTAGTTGTTGGTCTCATTTTGTATTAGTAGCTTTGTTAGTGGTAGCTTGTGATCTGATTTTGTGATATTGCGGAGAATTTATACCTACTCTAAAATCTAACGAAAATTATATTGTTAGCACGAAGAGGGTCGGTGCATCCCCCTACTACGCTATGTTATCACAATTAAATAGTAGCTGCTAGATGGTGGTGGGTTTTGGCTGTTTCCGTATTCTTCGCTTTTAGTTTCTCTAAAACACCTACCAGGCTTGATAATGTGGTGCATCAGATTTGCCAACTTTCCAAAAATTTTGTTTCCCTTGGAACGTGCCTATAATAATTAAACAATTTAGAATGACGTCAAGATGACGTCACTCTACTACTACGACCAGAATCCTTCATGGGTTTGCTTTGTTTCAAATTAGAGCTTTGGTAATTGCATCCTCGCTGGGATTACCAAATTTATATATGAACAGGAAAAACGAAAGGATTATGGTCGTAGAAGTAAAATGACGCCGTCTTTCAAAAGGGTTATAATTTTAATTTCCCGTTCAAGTCACACATGTATTGAGATGCATCCAAATAGACTTCTCAAGAATTCATTATTTTAATTTTTTTGACTGGTTTAGATGCCCGTTTTTTTTCGAAGGTGACACAACTGGTTAAAAATTAATGAAAGTCTCTGTAGGCTTTACATTTCGGCCTTATTTAATTTAAAGGAAATAAAAAATATTCATGAGTAAATAGACTACCACTTTCATAGCAAACTGCTCTGAATTATTGGAATTTTTTTGTCTCTGGATGGTTATAGCCACGTTTTGCAGGAATAGGATTTTACTTCTTTACGAAAGAGGGGAAGGGGAGGGGAAGGTTGCTCTGCATATTTAAGTTGTAATATTTATATAAAGGACGAATTGCAGGAAGGAAGGTAGACTGCAGGTTGTACCTTAATCCAAACGGCTACAACAGCTCGTGGTTTTTCATCATGACCAAATACCATGTGAAGCTGGGGAAAACAAGCAAGTTTAAGGTCATTCCCGATGAGTTGGTTCAAGTAGGGACCTAGTAGAGGCACTTGATCGTTTAGTCTCTAAATAGTAAGATGTTTTCTATACAACAATAACTTCTGGTTAGTCTTTTTCAACTTTTGCATACCCCCACTTTGTTGCCCACTGAAAGATCACTCAAGAAAGCACTGCGCCCGCAATTGCGAGTAATATGGCTCAGCACCTAATATTGGAAATGTATATACATTCCCGTCCTGGGTAATCATTTCGACCATTGCAATCGTTTCCCTTAACAAAGATATCGCGGGCCAGGATATGAGAAATACCGAACTGAGTCAAACGTAAAAGAAAAAAGGTTCACGTCGTTGTTGTCACTTACCTCACCAGACAGTTGTTTTCCATTGAGCTTGTGTTCAGACCCGCGTTTATTAACACAGCCAAAGTGAACATGAAACTCGAGCAATTCGAATTTGTTCTTCCCCAGGGGACCTCCAGTTAGTGAAGCTCCATTGGAATCAGCAATTATAAGTTTAGGTGAATGCCCAGTGTTTTCAAACGTTCCAGTAACAAGTCCCCTTTTGTTGTCAAAAGTGATTTTTAAACGACGGTAGCTATCTTCTTCCTCAACCTCGCTTTTTTTGATGTTTATTGGGGATTGTCTTTTTTTACCACAGTGATTGGGTTTTTCCAGCTCTAGATCGGGCCAGTCTTCCGGACCTTTCACTATAACGAACAAGGAAATTAAAAAATGGAGCATTTTAGTGGGGAAACAAATTAAAAGCGTAATGTACAAAAACCTACCTTCGTTAGAACGAAACTTGTGTTATTCGCTCTGACCCAAAACATGCCATAGCAGTCACTTCTATCAACAAGACGACGATAAAAGCCAGATAAATTGAAGCTGCTCTTTAAAAATCAGATGTTAATGAGAGTACTGAAATTCGACAAATTTGGTTTTATTAACGCACTTTTAAGGTGGTAAAAAGTAATTTTATAAACTTTGTTGATAAAACTATTGTTCTCGTTTCACCCGCAATCCGACGGAACACCCTATAAAGGTGATTATTATAAAAGTGACTTTATCAACGTTGACAAAACTAATTGTCGTTGATAAAACTTAGTACTTGTTCCTGTTTGACCCCCAAACCGACGCAGCTCTGTACAGTTTGTTTCAGAACCAACCCCTTCAAACATAACATAAAATAAATAATTCAATCAAACAATGAGACGCCAAAACAAATTCACGAATTTATTGCTTGGTTAAAAACGCTTGTGAGCGAGTCAATCTGACTTTTCTCATGATTTGTGTGAAAGTCGCACGACACTTTTCCACTAATCATACGTTTAGTATGAATTACCAAACTAATTTCTACACTATATGTTCATTACACTGAAATCTCTTCAGAGGGTAAGTTAGATTAGAATGAAGGAGATGCCATTCAAAGTCATATTAAGGTGGACGAGAAATAACTGTCTTATAACATGCTTTATTCTCGTCTGGCTCAAAAGCTTACACTGTCTTCTATGGCTGTATCTTCTTTGAACGCCTCTTTAGGATTTCTTATTCTCAAGAAACTGTCATGGATTTCCCAGATCTCGAGGTTTTTTAACAAATTGCATTTTGCGTACAAGATCAAAGTTCGCTCTAATACAGAAGGACAGTAACTAACTAAAGGTTTATGTAGCTCCAGTTATACTAACCGTCATCACTTGTGAGGTTTACATAGCCCCATTTTCCCTCTGAAAAAGATAAAATTAAACATAATAAAGATAACTATAAATAAAGGGGCTAGTTAACAAGGAAACTGTGGTGATGCGTTGATGGTGGTGTAAAACGCAAAAATCTGGGTTTATCCTGATTTTACAACTGAAGGTAGACTGGAGGGGGGGGGGTGGGGATTTGAGAGGCTGGATTTTTCGAGCATAGGCCCTTCGTTAGAGCGAATCCAAAGTTCCACTGCATGTAGCTAACTTACTAACTTTGCGGAGATCTCCCCCCTTTAAAGACCTTTTTTATTCAAAGACGAGGACCAATACGGGGACGAAATTTTACTTTAAAGTTTTATTTCGCGTTTTCTTAAAAATATATACCCGGGAAGGCTGCTTTGTATCTTCTTTGTCACTTGATGACTTGTTGGTCGCTCGCTTGCTTGGCGGATTCGTTCTGACGAAGGCCTGGGGCTCGAATGCATGCGCATAACTTGCTCGGCGGTTACCCAAGATGGCGTCTGCTTGCTGGTTGTTAATTGATTGAGTCTTTAAAGGTTTTAGACAATGAATTATGCCCTCTTAAAGTTTCTACATGAAAATAGGGTAAGTGTGTTTGCCATTTACTTGTGTTTTACATAGATGTTGAGGTGTTTTTACTCAATTTAGTAAAAAGCTGAAGCACGATTTCTGCATTTTTGGCTAAACAATGAGCATAATTTACAAAACCAGCACAGTTGTTGGCATAATTTTAGAAATGTAGGAGCACTGCTAGTAGCATATTATGCTACTTTTGCCAACACAATCTATCAAAGCCTACTCTCAGTAGCCGAGATGTTCTATGTAAGCTTATTAACAATAACGATAAAAAGTCAAAAAATATATATATATGAGCGAAAGGACAGTGTTATTTGCGACACCCTAAAACGCTATAGTATCGGGTTTTGACGATATGAAACGAGTTTACAAAATGACAGGTACACATCCTAATAAGCTATACTGGGAGTATAGTTTCAAACAATAACTGCAAATGTTGGGGACAAAAATACGGCTTTAGTTGTTATGTCTTCTACATCACATAATTCACAACTTACCGCTCGCGCTATAGACAGCACCAAAGGTAGTCAACGATACCAACAACTTTATTACTGATACCATTTCAAGGTTTCTAAAATTCGATCACAAAGCAAAAAGACAACAATAAAATCGACTGATATGATATCAAAAAAAAGAGAGAAATTGACCTTCCTTGACTGTCCTATGGATAAGGTGGTTAAAGCGCAAATTCATGAAACAAAAAAAAAAACACTTAAACCTTACTTTTTTAAGTCCTAGAAAACAAATTGTACCATGCGAGGGCCTCGAGAAAGGTGTCAATTCACGGTGGGGCCAAACCACCCACCCCCAAATGGCTGAAATGGCTTATCAAAACGTGACAATTTCGAATAATTTAAAATAACTTTGCTTGCTTTCACTCTTTCCTAACCAAACTTGGCCTAAAAATACGAAACATCAGGCGAATCAAAATCGCCATAGGATGACACCAAATGTCAAATTAGGACGTCATATTTGCTGACGTCATTCATACGTAAATTTTAAACTTTTGAATCTTCTAAATTTTTATATCGTTTTTGAAAGAACTATTTAAGGGAAGTTGAAAGCTGAATTTTTTTTTTCAGTATCTCAAATATGAGCTGAGATATGACATTTTGAATCTGAATAAATTCGGAGCACAAAAACGGGGTACCCCCCTTTTAAAATAAGTCTTAATTTCAGAGTTTTATTGTCGAGACATCCTTGCTGTTTAAGTTACACATAACACATCTTTACTATCGAAAGCTAAAGGAAAAAGAAAAATTTGAAAAAAGAAATTCCTAACTGGGGTCTATATCTCGGAGGACCTCTCTTGGGCTTCCCATTGCGACTCGATTATCAAGAGGGCCAACAGGCGACTGTATGCTCTCAGAGTGCTTAAGAATTGTGGCTTGCCAATGCAAGATCTCTTAGCTGTCTACTGCTCGCTCATTCGTTCTATTCTCGAGTACGCGAGTACTGTATTTGCCAACTTACCTCAGTATTTGTCTAATGCCTTAGAGAATATTCAGAAGAGTGCGCTAGGCATTATAGTGCCTTCTATGCCATATAGTCAGGCTTTGCATCTGACTGGTCTGCCTTCCTTACAAGAACGCAGGGAAAGTGCATGTATAAGGTTCATCTCAAAAATTTCTCCTTTCAACCCTTTGTATGCGCTTATTTTAAGTAGGTCCCAGCCTAGGCAATCCCCATACAATCTTAGAAGGAATACCAACATTGTAACCAAACAAACCAACACCGACTGTTTTGCACAGTTTGTAACGTGCAAATATGCCACCTATTTAGATTTCTAAGCGCATTACATACTTATTTTGTATTATTTATTATCTTAGATTCCGGTAATTTCTGACCCTGCCTGTAATTCAGTTTTCACTGCAAAAGGTAGCAATAAACCAATTTATTTATTTATTTATTTATTTATTTATAACTGCCAAAAAACCCGGAAAACAGTTTTGTGACGTCATAAAATGTCACGTGATCAATTTTGAGTCAAAAAAAACAAAAATCTAAAATGATACGATTTTGGCCAACTATAAAAGGTATGTGTCACCGGAAAATCAGCTTATTTTGCCAAAAACTGTGAAAAAAATATCAGAGGCATTGTTTTTAAGGAAAAGTATGGTTCCGGAGGGTGAAATCAAATTTCTTTGAAGTCTTATAACTCAGGTTGTACGTGTCGTAGCCAGAAGCGGTTTTACTCCTCTTCTAAAGCCCTTTCAAATGATATAAGTTTGACTTTGAAATTATAAACTGCATTTTACCCATTTTGGTGACGTCAGCCTTTGTGACATCACAATTTAACATTTTGCGTCAAACAAAAACTTAATACCATTTGGTCAGTAATCGTAGTCTATCTGGAAAGTTTGGTCGTGAAATGAAAAGAAATGTAAAAAATACGTAAATTTAGCCTTAATAAGCCCTTTGGGGGGTTGTTTAGCCCCGATATATATTTTATCAAAGCATTTCTGGGGTCGCAGACTGAAAAAGGGGAATGGCGTTAGTTAATAGTCATTGCTCGAAATCTGATAGGTGTAAAGGTGTTCGATGTGTAAGTTATATCATCAATGAAAGATAATACATACCTAAGACTGTTATCAAGTGAACTTCACGGCTGCTCTAACCGTTCTTTCTGTCGTATCGCACTGTGCCAGTCGCTTGTGACTGAACTACTAGTGTTCACGCCACTAACTGAAAAAGAACTGATCTGTCAAAGGGCAAGCTGCGAGAAATAAATACCCCAATGATTCTGATTGACAAAAGCACTTAACAAGAGCTGAAATCCCGACGAACAGTATATGTATTTTCGACCTTGGCTTAATATCTTAATTAGTATGAATTAATCGAGACTATCATAATACATGATATCCAGTGAAGGAGCAGGTGGGCTATGAGACTGTATATTATATTGCGTATTACACTTGAAACCCTTCCAAAAAAAGAAAAAAAAAACAATCCACCAATTCAAGATACTTTATTTTTTCCAAAGACCTTGGGCTTTCAATTATAAGCAAAAAGCAAGAAACTTGGTCGTTTTATGTACGATCAATTAAAGTGGGTATATGTGCAAAAAGCAATAAGCTCGGCATGCACGAAAAGTGGGTCTTCCGTTAATTACATAACAATAGGAACAATTGAAGGCAATGTCGCCAGTGGGCAGTTGACGTTCGGAACTTTTTTATCAATGTCGACTATTCCAAATTTAACCCTGGGCAACCCAAGAGCACAAAAGTGGCTAAAACAGTGAACTGAGTAAATGATGGATGATATTTGTTGCCAATGTTTTAGAAAAACAATGTCTGTTACTAGGTACAAATGTTAACAGATTCTAATTTTAGTGCTAGTAAGTAAAAAGAAACTTTATTCACCAAAAAAATAAATAGAATATCTGTTAATTTAAGATTCATGATAATTCTTAGACACTTTAATGTTTTTCATGCCAGAGAGTGAACAATGTGAATAGCATTATGAAATTCAGACAGCCGATCTTTCGGACACTAGGGGAGGAATGATTGCAATTATTGTAGGTTGTGATCGACGAATACTGTCATTCCGTTTCTACCAAAATGCCAAGCAAGTCAATTCCAAAATTATTGTTTACCGGTTCGTATAAACAGGCAGTTGTAACATCGCTTCGAACGAGCTATGTTAAAGCAGGAATAGAGAGGACCAAACTCTAGTTTGGGTCTGACGATCGTCTCCGCGACAGAAGTCGATCTTCACATGCGACGAAAAACACTAATAAGTTCAAAATTTATATAATAATGTATGTGTATTTAGCCTCGCTCGGCTAAAATTGCTTTTTGCTCTGATTGAGTCACAGTTGATTGGTTTGAAGCGTCCTAAGTTTGACGTCTGACCTAACCTGTTCCAGGCTCCGAGATAGTCGAGTCTGCTGAATTGAGAAAGCGCAAACACGCCCCGCCAACATTTCGCGTGCCTTTCAGTTTCGCGTCTTCCCCACTAACTGGGAGCCTGGAACAGGTTACGTCTGACCCAACAGACGATCTTAACTTAATTTAGGTCGACCCAACTAATTTAGAGTTTGGTTCGTCTCATGAAAAGTTCAATGCTTGGCCTAGGCATCAGTCTATAACGGAAAACATAAATTGTTATCCATAGGATCTCTCATTATTTTTAATGTGTTATAGCAGAGGGGGTGGGGGGGGGGGAAGAGACGAGGTCTGGGACCGAGAAACGATGTTCTCACAACTTGCAAAGCGGTCACTAAGCGTGGTGGTCAGCGGATAATTACAGTATTTTTCCCACAGTAAAAACTTTTTAGACTTTTTAGAAGCAAGAAGCGAACCGGCAGAGGAAATCAGAAATGCTGAAAAAAATTGAAAAAAATCATATCATGTATCTTTGTTTTTCTTTCATATCGTATTTGTCTTTCGGTACCGAAATGCGGGGGAAACTAAAACGCAACCGTACTAGATCTTAACCAACAACAACGCGCTCGATGGATTTATTTATAGGTTACATCGTTTTTGCCGGGCAAGGATAACTTGATGCTAATAAAAATTACTGGAGCAAGTGTCAAATTTATCGGAAGCAAGTATATTCAAGCTAGAGAGCTTTATAAATATGAGCTTACTGTTCTACATATCATAACTGAATAAACATTAACACTTCATAACATTTCACTTCGTTTATTTCGATCAGTCAACACCCTGTATCCAAAGTTAAAATTCAAAACGATCCTAAAACAAATCACAACTACTGCTGAAAGCTCTGTACCTTGAAGCGACTTTAACTTTCCTAAGGTTTGCAGCAAAACACTGCTCGATAGCTCAACTCTTCGGCGGTTCTTATCAGCTGTTCGGAGCTATATGTTGCATATTCCAAACTCTGCAAAGGGAAATTGTTTAACAGAAAAAGAAAACCACACACTATGTCTGAAAAGCGTCATAAAATCAATAAATTTGCGAATTACCAAAATATAATAGTGAGAAACAGTCCCGCCTTCGACTGTCATGTTTTTGTTTTTCCTCAAGACCGTTGATCTATGGTTTTTGACGTAGTGCGCATGATCAGTACACAAATCCGCTGGCAAGACCCTTGCTGATCGCTTTGCAAGTTGTGAGAACATCGTTTGGATTTTCATTTAAGAGAATGTATGGGAAGTAGCTCCCCCCCCCCCCCCCCCCCNGCTTGTTTTCTTGGCGTTTTTTTTGCTGATCAGATCTCTTGATTTGGACTTGGCGTTGTCATATGGAGAAGACATGTACGACTTTGTAACTCAGCACAAACACTTGTTCATGCATTCATTACCGAATGCATTGAATATTGCGGCATGGTTTAAAAACTATGCATCTTCACAAGCTCATTGCAACGTATACAGAACAGTACTAGTGCTGTCCGACTTTTTGGTTTGCTTCCATGTTCTTACCATATGCAAAATCCCGGTTCTGGTTTCTTTTCAATGGTTTCCTGTCTTTCTTCCAGTAACGCTCACGTGCTAGCAGTTCATGACATTACGGATTTATTTAACATTAAGCAACGTTATGTACTGTTTAAAAAAACGAGCAGGAGTGTTTTATCAGGTTTCAAAAATCGAGGCGAAG